TTTCAGGTTTCCTCCAGGAGTAGTGGGAGTAACCACCCCTGGGCTACCAGAACCACCAGTAGTGGAAGGGATTGTAGCTCATGGGATCCCTTCTGTTTCCCACTCTGCACCGCGTACCCCTTCCCCAGGAGAGACAAGCAAACTGGATGCAGACAGAGAGATTCCTGCTGATCAGTAGCAGCATCTTTATCTTCTCTTCTCTGGCAGCAGGGGGGAAAAAAAAAAAAAAAAAAAAAAGTATCTTCTGCTAGGACTTTCTTTAACACCCTGCAGAGACTGTTTCTTGTTAATGCAGGGCAGGACAATGCATTTCATTACTGGCAAACTTTAGGTCTTGCCTTTATTTTTGTAACCCTTTTAGTTATAATCTCTTGGTGAATCTTACTCCTTCTCTGGGGCAGGGCAGCAGTGACCTTGCCTCCCCTTGGAAATACTTGGTTTAACCAGTGTTTTTTTCCTATGCGTCTGCCTCAGTTGTCTGTGACAGGGAACTGTTCTAGTGCACTTGAATATAGAAGAGGTAATGCCTCCTGATCAGGGATGGCCTTCAGTGTCCCTAACAGCAGACTTCAGGGCACATTTTCCAGTTGTAGCAGTGTAAGTTCCTTTTGGCTGTACCTCTCAAAGTGTAGACATGGGAAATATCAGAAAAAGATTAATAAATTGGAGAAGTTGTGACTTGTCTGTATTATGCTGTCAGTAAAATGCAACTTCAGCTCTGTGCATTACCTTGCTTGTTTTAATTAAGGTTTTCTATGAGAATGGACAGCACAAGCAGTGCTTGTTCGTGACCATAAGTTTTGTCTATGCAGTACTAGGCCTGAAGATAAACATAACAGTTTCAAAGTCAGCCTTGTAAATAATTTGAAATGAATTTAAAAAGTCATCAGAAGTGTTCCACTAGTGGCCACTGTGTTTGCAAGGCTTCAAAATAATTTACTTATATGAATGTACCTCAGAGAAGATGAGAAAATGCAGAAATAGGAAAAAATTGCACTGGAAGACAGCAAGTAGCAATAATTTGCAGCTGCAGTTGCTGGTTCCTTGCACACGCGTACCTCAGTCTAATGACGCTGTTTATTCACAGAGTATATGATGTTAAAATTCTCAGCCGTGTTCTACAGAGCTTTGTAGGCATAACTGCACCAATTAGAAGTAGCACAGCAGTGCTAGTGACACTAGTCTCTGCTGATGGAGAAAGCTTTTAAGGCTTGACCAAATTAGTCTAGTTAGCGTAGCTCTACTAGCATATGTTGCATCTTCAGTAGAAGGCAGAGTAAAATTGAGCTCTTTTTTTTTTTTTAAAGTATCACAACGCTTATTCATGTAGGAGAAAGGCTGTTCATGTAGGCTTATTCATACAAAGGAGAAGAGAACAATTATGTTATCACCTGAAGCCAAGGCAGGATTGTTATTCTGAAGTATTTTTCTGTTTCTCTGTCCCAAACAATTGATTCACTTCTTTGAGGGGGGGTGGAGCCTTCAGCAAAACAGATTCCCCAGGAGATTCTAAATATTAATCTTAATTCTAAATATTCTTTTCTATTTCATCTTGTTACACCAGGTGCTATGCAGAAGGCATACTCTGTGTGTGGTTTTACCTGCCTTGCTTGATTCCTTTTGTGTCTGTGACTGGGAGCTGAATAGATGGGAACAGATCGGAAATACACTTTGAGGAGCGGATGAAATAATCTGTTTAGGCTGTTTATAGTTCAAGAAGTTGAGCAAAGCCTTCAGAGTAGCAAAGATTTCAGGCTCTCTTCCCTGTTTTTATGTTATTCTCCAACACTGTGTTTATATAATAGCTTACTATCTAGCTTACTAATGATATGGTGAAGTGATTCATTCCTTTCTCTGTATGTGCCCGCCTGTCTGACTGCCACCACCCCTCCAACCACACAAAAGCAACAACAGAAAAACTTTGGCAATTCAAGAAAGAAAAATAGGCAAGATGTAAGCTTCGGGTGTTTCTTTGCAGATTTAATACTTTTTAACTGTTCAGCATTAGTGAGATATTTGTTCTTTAGTATTGAGTGTCTTTTTTTGATAAGGTATTTGTGTTAGTGAAGGTTGGCTTCTGTGTTTCATGGATCATGCTGATTCTAATTAAGATCCATATACCTCCTTGGCTGCTCAGGTTTACCAGGTCAGACTGGGACTGGTGTTAGGTGCAAGTTACAGGAGAATTCTGAATGAAAGCTTAGAGCTCAGAAGCACTTCAATTTGAGCCGTACCTAAAATAACCAGCAGCTCTTTTCTGATTTCTGTAATTTTTAGGTAACCTACATTTTGCAAACTGCTAATTCAGAAAGCTGTTCTTCTGACAGACAGATGGGGGGAAAAATGTTTCATTCAGGGACTGAGAGCTGATCTGTCTATTACTGCATCAGGGGAGCAGTCTGTCCGTAACTACTGTTTCCTTATTTGCTCTTAAAAATTCCTGCTCTGCATAAAGATTCCTGTCTGCAGATTATTTTGTGGTAAGGTGCTTCTAGTTATGACCTTAGTGAGTACAGAGAATCAGAGTACATTCATCTTCTCTATTTTAGAGCACAATGCAAGGTAGATGTTTTTTTGTTAAAGGCAGCATATCTGTATCCATCTATCTATATATTTTTAAGATCAGTTAGGCAGCTCTGTGCACTCTGAAGAAGAGTGGGAAGATCTCATCTAGGGGACATTTTGAGTTTCTCTTTTTATTTGATGACTAGTAAATGTAGGAGTAACTAATTGATGTAAGAAATACTTTGTTATGGGTGCTGGGGAGTTAAAGCTGATAGCACTGGTAATTGTATTTGTGAATCTAGGCATCCCTTCTCTCCTCTTATGGGTGGAACGTGACAGCGATAGTGGCTCTGCTTTATCCAACACCATGCAGAGTGATTGGATATGAAGGCAACATTTCCCTTGATGAGAACCTCAGCAGAAAATGCTGAGGTAAAAATTAAACAGAACCTTGACCATGACATCCTCAGTGAAGGGCTCTCTTTGTGCTTGTAGAATTACTCTGCTTGTATGCCATCTGTACCTCTGTGTGTAGACTGAACTTGCCATCACCAGACCAAAGGCTGTTCTGAACAGACAGCTCATAGAAAAAAGTACCGAAGTATACTGTGGTCTTCTCCATCCCATGAGTGCCAAGTCCTTTCAACAGCACCCTCTCGTGTGTGATAAACTGACTTACAGCTCCTCCTTTAGTGCAGTATACAGAAGTGGAAGGATGGTTTTTTTTCCCTCTTAAAATACCTTCCTTCAAAACTAGTGCTTTATTCCCAAAGAACAGAAGTTTCCTAGGGTGAGGCAGGAGTGCCCTACCCTCACTAACCTGCTTACAGGAGGTGCTTATTACTGTCCCAAGGTACATTCTGTTTGTCAGGGTCACTGCTGCTGACCAGCTTTTTTATAGAGGACTCAGAGTTTCAGAAATATATTTTTGTAGACAATAACTAAACTGTGAAACATTGAAATAAAGCATGTAAAACAAAAGCTTACAGCACTGTCCTCTGTACAGATGTTTCTCTCACTTCAGTTCTCTCCTGACTTATTAGATAATGTTTGATTACTTCTTGGATATATTTTAATAAACTTCTCCAAAGAATGTGGCTGCTGTCTGTGGAAGTGGTGGCCTGAAACCTGAAATACAGCATACATTGAAGAGGGTTGCGGGGGGGACGGGTGTAAAAGCAAAAACAAAAAAAAAACCAACAAGCATGTACATATAATTGTCTGCATCAGTCCCACTTTTCTCATAATAGATGGGTTTGATTTTTCACATAGTAACTCCGTAGATCCCAATAGTGGATGACTTTCTTTGGATTCTGGAGACTCACTATCAACAAAGACTGAAGGTGACAGACAGCTTTGGATGTAGCCCAGTAGTCAGTATGTACTTATTTGCTTTCTCACAAGTCAAAAGTGTGGCTTTTTTTTTTTTCCTCCCCCAAAGTATTAGGTTAAATAGGTGTTTCAAGAAGGCTGAGAAATAACCAATTCCTCTTTGAGACAGTTATGGGTTTCATGTCTTGTTTCAGAAATTCCTAAGTTCTTCATAGTTCTTTAAAATATGTAGGGCAGACACAACTTGCAAAAAAGAATCTTTTGAGCCTCTCTCTAAATATAATAATCTGTCTTGAAATCTGTCCGCTATTTTATCAGCATCCCACATCAGGACTAACATCAGACAATTTATAAGGACTACGGATAAGGGGATAAAAAAATACAATTCTGAGGACAGGCAATCTACAAACTGGTATTTGGGCATCACTGTATCCATTTCCTATTAAAACTGATTGTATCCCTGTAACCAGAAAGTAATAAAGGTGAAATACTGCCATTTAGTGAAAACAACCTGGCACAATCATTTTGAATAGATGTAGGTGAAAGCAAGCAACTTGTCTCTGCTGATTGTGATTCACTGTCAAGTTAACTGGGACTCAGAGAAAACAGTAATGAAGAAAACAAATGATTTTCACAAGAACATCCTTGTTCTGATGTCAAGCGTAGCATCTACTCCTCGTTCTAGTTTCAGTCAGTGCTACTGTGTCTTGAATGCACAAGCAGAAAGAGGTGTAAAGCTGCATGTAGAATTCTGAAGAAGTTGTTGTACAAACACTGAAAAGGACTAGGGTTGAGGCACTGTGTTATTCTACATGAGGGCTGATGAAATGTATTAGGTAATCATGACAACAGCATCCTATTAATATATTAGAATCACAGAATGGCTTGGGTTGGAAGAGCCCTCAAAGATCATCTGGTTCCAACCACCCTGCCATGGACAGGGTTGCCAATCGCTAGATCAAACACTAGGGCCCCATCCAACCTGGCCTTGAACACATCCAGGGGTCAGCAACCTCTCTGGGCAGCCTGTTCCAGCACCTCACCACCCTCTAAGTGAAAAACTTCCCCCTCACACCTTATCTAAATCTCCCCTCCTTTAGTTAAAACTATTCCTCTTGTCCTATCGCTATCAGACTTGTATAAAAAGTCAGTCTCCCTCCTGTTTATAATCTCCCTCTAAGTACTGGAAGGCCCCAGTGAGGTGTTCCTGGAGCCTTCTCCAGACTGAGCAAGGCAAGCTCCTTCAGTCTGTTGTAGGAGCAGTGCTCCAGCCCTCAGATTATCTCTGTGCCCCTCCTCTGGACTCTGTCCAACAGCTCCACATCTTTCTTGTGCTGGGAGCCCCTGACCTGGATGCAGTACTCTGTGTGGGGGGCCTCACGAGGGCTGAGAAGACAGGGACAATCCCCTCCATTGCTCTGCTGCCACCCCTCTTATGATGCAGCCCAGGATATTGTTGGCCTTCTGGGCTGCAAGCCCCTAAATTCTCAGCCAGAGCTACTGTCAGTGAGTTCTTCTCCCAGTCTGTATATGTATCTGGGATCGCCCTTACCTGTGGCTTTGTTGAACCATATTAAGATTACATGGGTCTGCCTTTTGAGCTTGTTCAGGTCCTTCTGGATGGCATCCCTTCCTTCTGTTGTGTCAGCTGCACCACTCAACTTGTCGTCTGCAAACTTGCTGAGGATGCACTCAATCCCATCATCTGTGTCACTGACAAAGATGCTAAAGAGTACCGGTCCTAAGACTGACCCTTGGAGGACACCGCTTGTCACTGGCCTCCACCTGAACATAGAGCTGCTGACCTCAACTCTCTGGCTTTGGCCTTCTAACCAATTCCTTATCCATTGAATAGTTCAGCCTTCAAACCCACATATCTCTTCAATTTAGAGATGAAGATGTGGTGCGGGATCACGTGAAAGGCCTTGCACAAGTCCAGGTAGATGACATAAGTTGCCCATTTCTTTGTTCACCAGTGCTGTTGCTCCATCATAGATGGCCACCAGATTGGTTAGGAATGATCTGCCCATGGTGAAGCCGTGCTGGCTCTCTCAGATCATCTGCTTGTCCCTCATGTGCTTCAATATATCTTCCAGGAGGATGTGTTTCATTATCTTCCCAGACACAGACACGAGGCTCACTGGCATGTAGTTCCCCAGATCTTCCTTTCTCTCCTAAAAATGAGAGTGATGTTTCCCTTTTTCCAGTCATGGGGGACTTCACCTGACAGCCGCAACTTTTCAAATATGACGGATTTCAAAACCGATGGATTGGCAACCACATCCATCGGTTCCTTCAAGTCCCTGGGATGCGTGTAATCAGGCCTCATGGACTTGTACACGTTTATTCTCTCAAGACAGTCTCAGACTTGCTTCTCTCTTACAGTGGGAGGGTTTTTGCATCCCCAGTTCCCACTTAGAGGTTCAGGGATGTGAGGGACACACGCCTTCTGGCTGCCTGTGAAAAATGAGGCACAGAACCAGTTGGGCACCTCAGGCTTCTTTGTGTCTGTTTCCAGTTCTCCCTTCTCACTTATCAGAGGGGTGCACTCTTCTTGGCCTGTCTCTTGTGACCAACACACCTGTAGAATCCCTGGTTATTTTTCACATCCCTCGCCAAGCAGACTTCCATCTGTGCTTTGAGTTTCCTGACCCCACCTCCACCCGGTGCAATATATCATAGTTATCCCCTAATAATGCCATTATAGCTAACAGGGAAGAACCCAGACAAGTGATATTGCTTTTACTCCGGGGCCAACTCAGAACCATCTGAAGCAACTCAGGCCCCACTTCTACAGCTGTTACCGTATCTTTTTTATAATGTCCGTTTACCTCGAAACTTAGGTAAAAACTCCTTAATTTCTGTTATTTCAGACACTGAACCTGGAGTTCATAAGCAGCTCTGCCGCAGGAAGGCCTCCTCCTCCTACGGCACCTGGCCGCCGATCGGCCCTCGGCTCCGCGACTGCTCCAGGTTCTGTCCGCGGCCGCTGCAACTCTGCGGCCGGTCCGTCCGTCCGTCCCAGAAAGGCCCGGCTGCGCGGGGCATTGTGGGGGAGAGGAAGGAGGGAGGGAAGGCCGTCCTGGCGAGGTGCATGCCGGGATCGGGGCGGGCGGCGTTCGGAGGCCTGGAGAGGGGCGGTCGTTCCGTCGGTGTCTCGGGGCCGCGGCGGTCGGTGGGCTCGGGCCGGCGGCGGAGGAGGCTCCTGTCCGGCGGCGGAGGAGGCTCCTGTCCGGCGGGGATGGCGGACGTGGCGGCCTCCCCCGTGGGAAAGCGGCTCCTGCTGCTGCTGGCGGCGGCGCCGGGCGAGGGTGAGGCGGCGGGGCCGGACTCTGGGCCTGCGCTGCCCTCCCGGGCCTGGCGGAGCGGCACGGTGCGGGCTATGAGCGGAGCGGTGCCCCAGGACCTGGCGGTGAGGACCCGGCGGCGGAGGCGGTGACGGTGACGGGGCGCGGGCGGGGGGCGCGGGCCGGGCCGGGCCGCGGGGTGAACGGGTCGGGCCGGGGCTGCGGAGCGCTGCTTTCCCCCTGGTCGGGTCGCGGCGGCGCCGTGCTGGCGGCCCTTCTCTGCGGAGCTCTGCCCGCGCTGCCCATGGCCTGGCGGGACGCTCTTCGGGCCGGGGAACGGCGGTCCCGGCCTGCGGGAGCGCAGTGGCGGGGCGTGGGCCGGGTGGAGGGAGCCCGGTGGCCTCGGCTGCTGTGATTTCTGATGGCTGAAGTACGGCTGCGTGTCCGCGCAACTTTTCCGTGCTGTTTCCTGGGAAGACGTTAAGTATACTTGATCAAGCTAAGTGAGGTTTCTTGTTTAAATACGTACTTCTGTGTTGGGGTCGGTGGTTTTTGGTCTTCGATTCTGTTTTCAGCTGCAGCAATTTGCATTTAGTGTAATGCGTTTAAACACTTTTTGTTTTGCTTGTCTCTGGTGTAGTGCAGTGAGACACTCGGGTGGAGATTGTGGAAAGAACTCTGGACAGACAGCCTGGCCGTTTCTCTGTGTGTGCCACTTCTCCTAGAATTCGTTGTGAGTGATGGCATGCTTCGCAAACCCTTGTGGCCTGGCAGCTACCAACCATCTCAGAGGATAGGGTGATGCACTATTGCTGCCTTGTTTATTTAAGCTGGAGGTAAATAAATAAATACATAGGAGAGGGGATATTGAGAAATAAATTAGGAGAGGTGTTTGAGACTGTCTGAAATGTGGAAACGCGTAAGGGCTGTGACCTGGTCTGGAAAACTGCTTTTGTAACAGACTGCATTTGACTTGTATTGGTACCCTTGTGTTATGGTCCCATCAGATGCAAGTGTGATTATGATGTAATGAGTGTTTACAGTGCCTGTTCCTACTGTCGTTTAGCTGTGTGAACTGGAGGAACATTGCTTGGACAACTAAAAGTAAATAATTTGTTTCCTCGTTAGTCATGTGACACTTATTAGACTACTTTAACAAAGGAAAAAAAATCAATTCTGTGCTTGATAGCATAGGAAATAATTTGTTGTTTTCTTGACGTATTTGAATTCATAGCATTCTTATAACACTGCTGTTCTCAACCCAGTTTTTTTCATCAATAATTTTACATTTCACACTGTTTTAACGATACAGTTGTATCTAAACATTGTGTTTTCCAAATCTTTACAAGAACTACTGAATACAAACTGTCTAAAATACACAAGTTGATTTTTTCTTAGTTCTGTACTGTGGAATATTTAGTGTTGTAATGGATCTTTCTGTGTATAATGAACGCTACTTTGACAGTGTTAATCAGTAAAAAGGTTGGAAAAATGAGAGGCTGAGGACACTTGAATTGTCCAGTCTGGAAAAAGGGCTCAGAAGCAACTTCATTCCTCTGCATGTTTGTGGAGAGAGAGGTCCTGGTTTCTTTTCCCTGGTAATCAATGAAAAGATGTGTGGGAGCAACACAAAGCTTCTCTAGGGAAAGTTCAGACTGGGCATCAGGGAAAGCCTCTTTTCTGTGAGGGTGGTCAAACACCAAAACTGTCTTTCTAAAGAGGTGGTTGACGTCCCCATGCCTATTGTTGTTGAAGAGGCATTTGGATAATGCCCTCAGTAATATTTTTTAACTTTTATTTAGTTCTGAAGTGGTCAGGCAGTTGGACTAGATGATCTTCCAAGGTCCATTCTACAGAATGGAAAAGTTCTGTTAATGATGTTCTGTTAAGAAAATGTCATCTTTTTAAAATTCATTCAGCCAGAAGTGAGGACTTGGCACCAATTCAGGAATTACTGTTCTAAGATAATGTGAATGTGAACTAGGTCTGAAGAAGGCTGGAAGAAAAAATCTAATCTACGCTTTGAATTAGGACTGTGCTTTCTCATGGTATCCTGTAAAGATGGTTTGTCTTAGTAGCCCATAGTCTCACGTTTCCTTTTAAGAAATACAGAACAGTTTTATATCTCTGCCTTTCCAAAGCAGGAAAATGGAGAACACTCAAAAAGCATGGAACTTCAAACATTTCAGAAAGATGTTAAAATAGTATTTTAATACTGGAAAAGCAGTATTACTACAAAAGCATGTTATAGTCTAAAGTGTCGTCTTCATAAGGGATTTTATGGGAGCAAATCTTTTTTTTTTTTTTTTTTTTTAAATTAAGTGAGGATGCTGCAACTGCAGGGCTGGATTTAGGTTTACATGCTCTCTATCAGTTTTGAGATGTTACTTGAAAGCCTTCTTGGCAAGAGGAAAAAGTGTGGAGAAACAGTGCACATGCTGCCCATATGTGGTGGAGTGTCAGTGTTTACATCTGCTGCAGAATTTTGGTGTTATTCGTTTGAGACTGAATGGGAAGTTTGTAGAGGCATTCAGACTGCAATAAGTGTTGCAAGATGAGTTGGCTGATAAGTAGTCGAAACTGGGATTCTGGAAGTGGTGGGAAGATTCAAAACAACCTAAGAGAATTGTATGATATCCAGATTGCTTTCTCTACTACTCTATTTGTCTTTGCTTCATTCTGACCTGCAAGGATGGCCATATTGCTGGATCGTTCTTCCTGTTAGCAAGACACATACATGAGTTTGCATGTTGGAAGGATTTATGAAGGTATATATAGACCCCAAACAGTGGTCTGATGTTTCATTTGCTGTCTCCTATTGTTGCAGTTGAAGGTAGAATGCTGGGCTGGATGAATGTTCTTTAGGCCAGTAGGTAGAGCATATCTGTAATGCTTCTTGTTATAAAATAAATATTTGAGGACCAACAGGATATTGAATACTTTTTAACAATGAATTTTTACTTACTTTGCAAGTAAAATACTGTTCTTTGAAAGAGAGCTGATTGCAAAGCAGTGGGCATGCATTTTCTCCACTCACTGTATGATACTTTCTTGGTGGCCTTAGTACAAAATATTGTGAATTCTTGTGTTTTTTTTCTCCCCGGTGGCTTTTCTGTCTTCCAACATGTGAGATGAAAAATTTGCATTCATCCAATGAGCAAGGTCTTTTGTGTTTCCAGTGACTGCTTTTTTCGAGAATCAAAAGCGTCAAGAGGGATTCTGTAACTACTTATTTACAGTGAAATGCAAGGAGCAGGGATGTTACAAGGGGGAATACCTCTGCAGTTGTAGCTTATGTAAGTTGCTAATTTTCCCTCCTAGCTGGATCGAGATGAAAATTGTTAAGATAAAATTGTGAAAACTCAAGGACTGAGATAAACACAGTATAATAGGTAAAACAAAAGCTGCATGCACAAGCAAAGCAAAATACTCAAAATATTACTTCCCATCAGCAGACAGATGGAAAGTTGGATTCCATCATGTGTAACATCTGCTTGAGAAGACAAATGCCACAACTACAAACATCCTTCCTGCTACGTCTTCCCTGCCCAGCTTCTCTTGCTGAGCATTACATCGTGTGATATTGAATATCCTTTTGGTCAGTTGGGATCAGCTGTCCTGACTGTTCCCACTCAGCTTTTCAAGCACCCTCAGCCTCCTTGCTAGCTGAGCAGTGTGAGAAGCAGAAAAGTCCTCGACTCTGTGTGAGCACTACTCAGCAACAGTTAAAACATGAGTGATCTAATCAATGCGTTTTTTGTCTCAAATCCAAAACAGCATCATACCAGCTACTGTGAAGGAAATTAACCTAATTCCAGCCCAGACCAGTACTTCTGTGTATCTCCATCATGATATCACAGAAGAAATGTCTTTCCAAGAAGACTTAGCCAGAATGTAATTTTGTGCATTGTGTTGGTGTTTCGTCCCTCGGTAGCGGGGTGGTCATTGCATGCATTTGCTCATACTGTAACTTTTCTTGGTAGTGTAAGAGTTCTCTCTAAGTAGACACAGTGCTTCCAGTTTCAAGTGCCAATTAAAGAACCCAAACAATATTCTGTTTTTATCTTTGTACAGCTCTTGTCCTGAGGTCTCTGTGCTTGTGACTCTGTTGCACAATGCTTCAGACTTTCCCTGTTGAACCATCACTGTCTGCATTTAATAGTTTGTGCCACCTCCTTTTGATTAGATGCTCTATCTAATCAAAGCATTTAACTTTTCAATCTGTTAGTGGATTTCTTTCTTCTTCAAGTTCTAAGCCTGTTTTATTTCAAAAATAATCTTACTACTTCCCTATTGTTATCACTGACTGACGAACTGATCATTCTCCTGTTAGGTAGTGCTGCTTAGTAGTGACTGCTTTGTGTTGCAAGTACTTGCTGTAAAGAGTCCTTTGTTGTGTCTTGCCTGCATTAGATTATGATACTACTTTTGTGAAACAGAAATATGAGGTTTCCTTGTATAGTCCTTAGGTTTAAAGGGAGGATTGGGTAATGATACAGTGGAGCTCTGCTATAGACCGCTTGACCAAGTGGTCAGATGAGGCTCTCTACAGACTGATAGGAGTAGCCTTCCATTTGCAGGCCCTGATCCTCATGGGGAACTTCAACAATCCTAATACCTGTTGAAGGATGTAAACAATCAAAGAGGTTCCTGAAAGGTATTGGTGATAACTTCTTTCTCCAAGTGACAGGGGAGAAGAGGGGTTCTTCTGGACCTCGTTCTCACCAGTAACGAGTAGAACTGGGGAACGTGAAGATCATAGAATAGAATAGAATCACCAAGGTTGGAAAAGACCTCTAAGTTAATAATCCTTAGGGCAGTGAGAAAAATGAATAGCAAACTTATGACCTTGGGCTTCAGAAGAGCAGACTTCTTCAAGGATCTGTGTGATAGAATACTATGGGAGAAGGCCCTAGAGGAAGAAGCAGCTTAGGAAAGCTAATTAATATTTCAAGGATCGCTTCCTCCAAGGGTGGTGCAACCCAAAAAAGAAGTCAGGCAGAAATGCTGTGGGGCCTATTTGACTGAACAAGGGACTCTTTACCAAACTCAAGTACAAATGGAAGAGTACAGAGGGTAGAAACTGTAATGACTAACCTAGGAAGAATGCAGAGAGATTGTCTGA